AAGTTTCTTGGGCAACCGCTGTGGGTCCCAATTGATTTCCAATTTCTGCGGAAACCGTTATCAGCTTTTTTTCGTTTCAAACTTCAAGGGATCGCAGTTTTTCTGGGCAGTGTTAACGGTCTCTGGTGCCAAGGGATGTCTAAATAACATAGAAAGTTATCAACTTCAATGAGAAGTTTACAAAATAGGAGCTGATTAAAGCAGGAAGGGAAATCTGTAACTATATAAAATTAATTCTTTACTTATCATATCAACAAAACAAAAGCTAATTAAATTAACAAAAAATCAGATGACATTTTATTGTAAGAAATATACTGGTTTCAATATTAAATGAATGGCCAAAAAAAAATATCCAAACAAAAGTATTTCGTTATAAACAAATTATAAAAATTTTACTATCGCATAAACTTAAGTGGTTTTGCTGATATTGAAATTTTTTTAGCATGTTTCTGTATAACAAATTAATTGGATTTAGTCGCCATTATAACTGAATAAATAAGTGAAGTCATACGTTACTTCCTAAATGTTTAAATTTTCATAAGAATTGAACAAGTTTAAGAAAAGTATCATTGATTGAACACTGCTGTGGCTTAATGGTAATTAATGGTAATTAATATATATTTTCTTCCATAAAAAAAGAAATCTTTTTAAATTCTTATTTGTCTGCATTTTGCTTAATAATGTAATAAAATTGTATTTGGTTTAACAATTCAATTTAATTTTGAAGAACTGAAAGCAGAATACCCGCATACACCTAATTAAAAGAACTCATAGGTATGTATATAATATATGATGAGTCTTGTCCCAGACTGACATGAACTGTTCGTGTCCATCCGCGGCAGCTGTCGTCCAGCGTCATAGGAAGACAACCGAGAACCCTCACAGATGAAGATCCAGATCCAGATCCAAAGTCCCTCCTCCGGACCCTCCTGCCATTCATTATCTCCGTCTGTCTCTGGGTCGGGTGGCCATGGAAACCCTTTATTTGTTCGCTGCTTTTAAGCAAATTACAGCCTTGCCTCTGCCGCAGGTTGTCTTGTCCATTCTGGAGCAGGTTGTTCATTCATTGGGCTACCTGCAATGCCACTGGCGATGCGATTGCAATGGTATTATATAGTTTGCTTCGCATGCAATGGACTCGCCGCAGAGCAATTGTCCACAGTCCAGCATTTGCATAAGTAAATGCTATTTCTGGAGCGGATCTTGGAGTCTTGCTTTCTTCCACCATTTGTTATTTATCACAACTAATACCAACCAGAAATGTGTTAGTCAGAAACTAAGTTTTTGTGTTTTTTATTATTATTTTATTACCATGATGCAAGAGTGGCATAAATAGTAAAGACAACTGCGATTATAATCAGACAACCAAATGAAATATAATATCTAAGGTATTTCTGATGTTAGATAACACGTATAAAGTTGTTAAGCTGGAAAATCAAATTTCATATCGATGGAAGTCTACTTTTTGACTTATAGGAAAATAATCGAAAAGAAAATTGGTCATTGTTTAATTCACCAAATTAGTGATCAGTTTTTGGCTATGCATTAGCAGTTTGTTCAGGTGGACAAAATCCAACCAAACAGCACTTAGGCAAATCAAAGACCAGATTGGGAAGTTTGTGTTAATGCACAGAAAAAATATTCTTAATATATACAATATGTTTCAAACAATGCATTTTGTTTCGGGAAAAAATATAAAAACTGCATTCTACAGCGTTGAAAACCTAAAAATTTGTGTTTAGAAGAAAACAATAGCCAAATTATATAATTACTTATTGTTAATTATGAACATCACAGTTTGATTACTAAAAACAAAACAATTGGCATTAAATTTTCATATAATTAATATAACTTAATTTAATGAACACGAATAGTTGATCTAATTTTTTATTTTCTTACCTTATAAATGTAAATAAAAACTATCATTATTTATATGTTTAAACAATGCATGTTTTTGTTTGACCGAAATGAGAACTGTAAGATATCAATGACATGCGTTAGAAAACCCATTACATTTTCATTACTTTGACCTGTTAAAGTTCTTAATTTATGGCTAATTTGTGCGTTTTTCTCTGTGCTGGCCGAGGAGTAGGAGCCACCACGGCTAAAGCTAAATCCCAGCCAAAGTCATACTACATGGAGTCCCAGTCGCACAGTTAAACGCTTCACCTGTTCGCGCAAGGCGTGTGCTTGTGTCTTACCATGGCCATAACTCCACAGCCTGCCCCGCCCCTCTGCCCCCCTGCCCAATCCCCAGTGCATTTTAAAGGCCATTGCGAGGGGAGAGGCGTTAGTTATTAAAGGCAGTAGAGAGCCAGGTTGCGAGTCTGGCCAAGACGCGCGTGCTTCCTTGCCTGACTGCCGACGCCGCTCGAAAAAACTCGTTTCGATTATGAAAATTCCAAGCATTAATAACTCTGTTGCTCGGTTGCCCTGGCTGCGACTTCGAATTCCCCTGTACAACTTGGACTTGCGGCGGCAAACTTGCTACAGAATTCTGGGCTATAAATAAAAGGCGAAAAATACAAAATATATATAAAAAAAAAAAATAAAACAATTTGGTTGTTTGGGCCATAATGCATATACACTGGCCAACAGTAGCCGCCCGGAGTAAGTGAGCAAATTTTTGTTTAATTTCACTCGCTTTATTTGCCATTTTAAATACACTGGCATTGGGTTTGTATGCGTTAAGAGTCAGTGGGTTCAAAAGTCTGCTGTTGCCAACAACAACTAGCATGCTAATAACTACAACAACTGCTTGAGCGACTACTACTTAATGGATACACTAAACTGCAGGGAATATTAATATTTTAGAAGCGCAGAAGTGATACATTTTTTATTCACAAATGTCTCTCTTGAAGTATTACAACTCTTAATTTAGGAATAATATAATTGTTAATTTCTGTGGACTTGTTTGGTAATTAAAAAAATAAAGGATATAAAATGACATATAAAATAATTTTGATAAGTTAATTATTAAGAAATGTCGACCTATAAGAATTAAAACTCTAAATTTACGAATCACACATTGTAGTTTTCAAAATTTGTACTACTTTTGGACTTTTTTTTGACAATTAATAATATGTAATCAATGTAAATCATATTCATGTTGTTAAAATAAATATAATTTTTGTATTACTTATTAGATTATATATATTTTTATACTTTATTTATATATATTTATTTTGTATATATTTTCTGATGCTTGGCCATCAATTTTAAATTACTGGCTGGCCAGTGTTACCATTAACCTGTTGCTTAGATGTTCTTCCACATTCGAGTTAAGGTTCATTGCAATTTCTATGCAAATTTATATAATTTTTTACGTGTTAAACGAATACGTACATAGCCACAGTTGGTGGCTGTTAGGCGTCTGAGTTTGCAGCTACACAATAGTAGTTTCGCATGTACTTTTACCCATATGCCCAGACGCCATATCGCTGCATATGTTGCTATATATATACATACGTAGTATAGTAAGGGGCGTAGAGTTCGCTTATAAAGCAGTTGTTCATATTGCATATTCATGACCATGCTTTTGGACCAGCCTCCAGATCATTTTCGCCGCTGCTAATTGCTCAGTGAGCTTGCCAGCCAACAAATCGGGAAAACTAGCCGACATATTTTCGCTGAAATGGAGTGCCCGTAGCCATCAGCTTGTGTCAGGCCGAGATAAAAATTAGTTTAACCACGTTAAGGCTAATTATTCCATTAGCTCGAGAGATACCAGCTGGGGGGGAGGGTGGCGGGGCGGAAAACTGGAGCTGAAAAAGTCAACTTTTTTAATTACCAGACCGAACGGACAGGGCCGATTAGCCACGCCAGGTGGCGCTAGTATGGCCCCAATCCATAAATATATCCACTTGTGCATTGGATAACGAATGCAAATTGCAGGCCGGGTTATTAATGCTCGACTCTGTGAAATATGTATTCCACAATAATCGCATTTCGAACTTTAACCATACCTCCATTGGATAATTGGATAATCCAGTTCGGTTCTTTCCAACCTGTCTATTTGGGATAATCCATATTAAATGTGGATTACAAAGTTATTTCAATCCATATTAATTTACTTAGTTTTACGGCCTTAATTTGGCTGATGAACCAGCGAACTCAAGGTTGACTTTGAAATAAAATGTTTTCAATTAATTATTTTATTTTCAATTATTTCTTTAACCCAATCCCCATTAATATATAACAGGTCTGTAAGTATCAAGGCCCCAAAGTGGCTTTTGATCATTATTGATGATCCTATAGTGCAAGTAACACCAAAAAAAAACCAACTAATAATAAATAAATAATTTTTATATTTAAATTTCTATACTAATTATATATGTGGTGTTATATAGTATAGTATTATAGAACCTGAAACTGTAAAATCGTAATTTTTTTCAGATGTCGCTAACAAAATTCGAGCTATTCTCGCGTTTAAGTACGGTCACTTCCCCAGAGTTTCCTGCCAGACGTAAAAGCTCAGTGGCTCTGGGAACAATGCTAATTTGATGCACCCCAACGATGCTGAATCAGCGAACCGATGCACATTCCCATTCCAGTTAAAACTCCACTTTCAACTGCAATTTCACACAGTAAACTATTTTCTTTTCCATTTTAAGATTTTGTCGTTGAAAAGTGTTTATTACAAATTTATATACAATTACATTAAGCATTTTATTGTTAGCTTTCAACTGCAATTCCACACATTAAACTTTTATTATTTCCATTTAACGGTTGTGTTATTAAAAAATGTTTATTGAACGTTGATATAAGATTACATAAAACCATTTATCGATTGACATCATTGTTTTTATAAGTAACAGAAGCTCTTTTCAGTTCAGGTTTAGGTTAAAAAAATGTTTATTGATATAAGATGAAATAAAACATTTTATCGTTAATAAAAATAATAAGAAACATAAGTTAGGAATGTTAGGTTTCAACTTTCAACTGCATTTCCACCCAGTAAAAATTTTTTTTAATTTTTCCAAAGAAAATGTTTGTTAAACTTTTATACGCAGATATAATAAACTTTTTATTGATTAGGATCTTTGTGGTTATATAAAGAAGTAACGTAACGTTAATCATAAGAAAAGACTGTAAATTAGGAGGTGGGAATTTTTTTTCTGTGCACTGTAGACCTTCGCTAAAGAGCAGGCGTGCCATGGGATGGAAACAGTAGCTCAGGTGAATTTGGTGGAGGGGGGCCAGCGTTCAATTACCTGTGGCCAAGGGGCGCTGAGTTAGTTGCGCTAGCTGCAGCAAAACTGGCAACTAGACACTGGGAGACCGCTCCTTGAGGCATTGTTTCTGCGGCACGAGTCACCCGTCTGGAGTCTCTGGAGTCTCTGGACTCTCCTTCTTTTCGGATTTACCTGTCGGTGCCGGCAATCAGTGCAATCAAGTTGGGCCAGCAGGAAATAGCCTTCATGCCCTTGATTATGAGCCATGAGCTTGCACTTCGAGTTCCACTTCTTGATCAATTTAGATAACTGTTGGGAATTCAATTGAGTATTCCAAATTAAATGCGAAACGCAAGTAATAAAATATAGCTCATTAGTCATTATAGTTAATAGCAGGGACCAAAAATAAGACTTATTAAATACGAAAAAACTACTGTAAAGAAGATAACTTACATACATGATGTATACAAAAAATTCATGTTTTTCAACTGCTTTTAAAAGCCTGAAAAATTGTTTACAAAAAATAACTTAGATAAACTTTATAATTCCTAGTTTAATTTGAGCATGTTTTTTAGAATTGCCACCTCGAAGACAAATAATTTATATTGCATGCAGCATGATCTAAAAACTCAAGCAAGTCCTTAAGCACACAGCTTTGCCAACTTGTGTTATTTCTTACACCAAAGTAACAAATTATTTAAGCCCAGAGATTCCGACTTGTCGCTGGTTAAAGTATATAAATGAGCTGGCTGAGAAGATCATTAATGCACAGTTAAGAGCCCGTGGCTTCGAAAGGGGTTTGGGTTCGGGTTTCACAAGATCGCATCGTCAGCGGAGTCGCAAAAGGTTTTAATATCGCTGCCACTTGTGGGTATTGGCATTGGTATTGGTTGCATATCTTTTACGAGTTTTGGACTTGGCTAGTTAGGGTTTTGAACCTGTTCTTTCGGCCACAGTTACCGTAGCCACGCTTCTTCGCTGCTGCTGCCCCATTCGGTATTATTAACGATCATTATGAAGTTTTAACTTAAGTGGTCAATTAACATTTGCATGACTGAAATCGGAATTGGAAATTAGTGTATAACTAATTAATGCACAGAGAAGAGTAAAAATCCGGAGTTGAAAGAGCCGAACAAGAGTTGATTTTCAGCGGCACTCCAGTTACCAATCTTCGAGCAACAATCTTCTACCAACATGGTAAGTTCATTAGTTGGAGACATCCAGCATCTGAAGAGTGAGAAATAATTATGTTCAATTGGACTATCGAATGCATTTTCGGGAGTTCCCTATTGGCTTTGACACAATCAATTCAAGGAGTGACAGGGCATGACTTTGCACAAGTCATTTATGAAACTGCCTCTTCGATATTATTAATACAGCTTGATTGCTTTGTTAGCTGTTAATTGATTTACGCCCATTCGTTGCCCCCTTCTTAAGCCTATACCCCTTTATCGCTGCAGTTCATCGTCTCTTTGCTGTCATTATGTTCCCCATTCGAATCGCTTTTATTATCATGTCAAGGCGTATTATGCTACAGCCCGTAATTTATAAATCATGCTCAATATTTTGATTTGAGCCCATTTCCAGTGGCCAAGCACAATCTTTTTTTTTCCATTCCCTTTCCCTGTTGCTGTGGAAGGTATTGATGATTGAAAGACAAACACAGAAATTGGTATGTGCATATAAAGTAGTTTTATTTACAGATTTAAATGTGAAATTGGGACTACAATAATAATTTTTCTTGAAAATTGATTTATAGAACTTTAATTTATGCTTATAAAATATTTTTGTATACCAAAGTTTACTTTTATTTACTTTAACTTAAAGATCCCACCAAAACAATATCACCTTTATATAAAATAGTTTTTTTCCTTAAGAATAACCTAATCCCCGGTAAAAAAAAAAAAAATCCATGTATATATAATGCTGGCTGTCCACTTATAGTATCTCCTAGACGATTAGATACTCTCCTCCCGCACTTGATTAGATACACCCGGCTTGACGTTTGATTAGATATAGTAGCTCTCCATATACCATATGAAGTACTTAGATTCGATGACGCTTAGGACTTTTCTTCTTCCGATTTCTGAAAGCAGTTGGAACTGAGCAAAGAAACCTTGCTCAACGCCCTTTCCCACAAGCCTTTGGAGAATTTTATGGGCTAAAGCTGATTAGTAAAGTAAAGTCGGTAAGTTTAGAGCCCCATCCTATTCGTGTAAACTTTTATTGGTCAGCGTTGATTAGTTTTTCAATCAGTTACAAATAATTAGAAACGAAATATCAATGGGCCGAGCCCAACACACACCTGGCCAACACAAATCAGATGTCGGCGGTGAGATATGCGGCCATATGAAATTAATTTCAACATTTTAGCCCCTGGCCACTGACAGAATCGATTGTCTAGCTTGGCTTTGCTATGTCTGACTTTCAATCGATCGTTATTGTTTTTTTTTTTGCGCAGCTCAAGTGGGGGGTGTTCTGGGACCGTGTGGTGTGAACGCGACATTATCGTTTAGAGTGGATCCATGTGGATATCAAGTGTTCTCGTCGCTATTGCGATTAACACTTGCGCCATCGGCACAGCCATTGTGAAGTGCTTCCCTATCAAAACTGGACCTTCTATTGGCCGATTTAAATTGTAGATTGGCCAACACACACACACATTCTAACACTAGGCAGCAATTAGTTGTTGCTTGTGAAATTGTCACACGATTGCTGACTGTGCAGTTTTTATTAGTTTATTTGACCGTTGGATTTTTCTATGGAATTATGAAATAAATTTCTTCTGTGGCTGGATATGCCATATAGTTTTATTTATAACATTTTAAAATAACACCCATTCAGTGGCTCTAAACAGACAATGCTCTTTGATATGTGTGATTCACTACCTTGGGTCGTATTACTACGAACTCTAATGTGGAATATATTACTCAGTGGATCAACTAGTTATGCATTATTCAAGGGAGGGCTTTTGAATCCCGTGGATTTAATTGATTTATGCAGCCTTCCATTGAAACAGTCAGAATGGGCTTACACTTTTACGACACTTCACAACCAGGGCAACAACACAAGAGGAAAGGAGTTGGGAGGTTCAAGCAGGAGGTACATATATACACATTTCATTAGAGTCAGTGCTGAGTTCATTAACAGGTGTTATATTCGTTCTGGTTACGTTGGTCGTTCCGCCCTTTGGGGATCGTTTAGACCAGGCTAGACCGCGACAAACGCATTTTTCGTTTTCCTGATTAGATTAACCCCCCGCCACCCCATCGGCGGCCTGGAAACCAGAAACTATACCCACTGGGGCAAGAAACTGTAAAATTTAAAAGCCCTGTAAACGCTTTTACGATCCCTATATTCCTTCGAGTCTTGGGCCTTGCGTCATATATCTCTCTGTTGTCGGTGGAGGTCTGGTCTCTGGTCGCTGTTCTCTGTTCTCTGTTTTCTGGTCTCTATATAAACAGAGTCTCTCGTGTGTGGGCCTTAACCACATATCATATATAATCGTATAAATATAGGCTTGCCTGTGACTCTGGACACTCTTGACAATTAAGTCGCTTGTTTGCCAGGTGGCACTCGCTGGAATTTGTATTTGTTTTGTCTGTTATTACAGACTCAACGGATTGATGCTGTCACGAAAAAAGAGAGATAAAGATAAATTTGAGGCCTTTAGTACAATCTCTAGGGGGGATCAGCTTGCAGGCTGTTATCATGTCTAGGTCTAGTGGAGTCTTATCAATAACTTTGAATGCAAGAAACTGAGTGAATGACATAAGAGGATGAAATAGGGAAGGCTAAACTAAATGATTTAAGAGATAAGGATGATTTTGTGAATGCAATTTAAGTTGTAAGGAAATACAGCAAATGCTTTATGAAAATATTGGTGTATGATGATTACTCTTCGACGATTGTTTTTAATTTCTCACTCTTTTTTAACTATAAGACTGTTAAGTAAAAAATATTATTATCTGTGAAATATGACACAACTAATAAATCAATAAGAGAAAACACTTTAAGTAGTCGTGTTCATTAAAACGTATACATTCAAAAACTTAATTCATCTTAATTCTAGTTGGCTAGTTTATTTCATTAATAAGCCTTAGCCTTCTGTGGTCTTGCCTCTTAATTAAATCTTATAGTTAATGTCCATCAGGTGCGATAATTTTCTTGAATACAATTTGCAGTTCCGACCAATTACTCTAACCGCAAGCACATGTCCTCGTATAAATCATATTAACTGAGCTGCGTTTTCCCCGATCACGTTTCGGCGATTTATAAGCATTTAATTGTTTGATTATGGCAAGCTTTTGGCTGCGGTTTCTTATTTCTTATTTCATATTTCTCTAATTTCAAATTATGAGCATTTAACGGCCCCGAAAGAGGGGAAAAAAAAGGCGAAACGAAATGAAACTTAACTCAACCTGCTGCCTTGCCTAGTTGACTATAATCGTAAATTTGTGGATATAGAGGGGGAGATTTACGGAGAGGTATCATAAAAGAAGACGCTTTTTGTCACTAAATACTGCTGCTGCGATGAAATTAAGAAACTGGCGAGCAGCAGCCGCCGCGGCGGCGAGCGGAACCATAAAATATGTTTTTTTATACGTTCTCTCAGTCTTTCTCTATATGTACACTATACCCATAGCCATTATAGTGGTTACCTGCAGACTCCGCCGGGGTCCGGGAATGGTGAAATGGGAATTGGGAACGATCTCGCCGCCTCTCGTTTTTATATTTTCAACTGATGTCATCCCAAAACGCGTCGTTCTGCCGCTGCAAAAAATAAGAATTTATGACCAATTTTCTGCCGCTTGTCTCCGCATTATCCACTCCTTTTCAGCGCTCATCCCATCCTTCCGATCTTTTTTCCCCGATCCGAGGCACAATTGAAAAACTTGTTTTTCCTGCAATTTTTATGATTTGTTTGGTTTTGGTTTTTGGTCTGTTCGTACTGAAGGTTAAGGACACGGACGACATCTTTACCTGACAGTATTAGAGTTATCAAAAGGATCTAATGCTGCCCGGTAAGATGTGAACAGATGTCCTTGCTAATTAGCAAGTTTAGGGTATCCCATTTGTATAGGTTTTCCTTATTTTTACAGTTTTATAATCTCCACTTGCAGAGGAAGCTCAAAGTTCCAAAAGAAAACCTTGGAACATTGGCCCCTTGGCGATAAGAAATTCGTTGCGAGTTGATTTACATGTTTTTTTTGTGTTTTTTGGTTGACGTTCTCTTTCCCGCTTTGTAAATTTAATCCCATAACGAGTATTGATTTTTTTTCTCTGTTTTCAAGTGGGATGACAAAAAAACAAAAACAAAGCCAGGCTCCATTAGATGATTTAAGTGTGTGTGTGTGTTACCCAATAAACTTTAACTTTGAACCGGCGCGCGTGATTGTCCGGGGCGTATATAACGCCTACTTTGACGCAGGAAAAAACGTAATAAAGTTGTACATGTTATTTATAATTGAATTGAAGCTGGCGCCATCCGATAAATGCAATTATTATTGTTACGCGAGATGCACACACATACACACACTGCGACACTGTGTATCGTGTGGCCGTTGTTATTCTTGATTTTTTATTTTATTTTATTTTATTTTTTCGGCCACCGGAAACATGCACAATAACGCCCGCACACACACATGCAACCGAAGAGAGCAGAGCAGAGCAGAGCGAACAAACCGTCACGATCGAGCACCAAAAAAGAATTGAAAGCTGCGACGCCGGCGAGTTGTGTTTTGCCGTCGGCTGAGCTGCCCGCGGTTAGAGATGGAAGCGTTTTTTCGAGCGTGACACGAAGACACGCGTGACCACGTGTGTCTCAATTTAATCATTTTCGGGTTCGTGAGTGTCATCCTTTTTTGTATAGTGAAATGTAGTCAAGATTCTTTTCAAAAGAGAAATCTAAAATTAAATTGTTTTATTTAAATTATATTATTTTTTTATATTTTAACAAGATTTTGTTAAAGTCTATAAAGCATTCAATGTAAAAAGGAAAGGCTTTTAATTTGAGGTCAGATGTTTGTAACTAAGTGAAGGAGATAACAAGTTGAAATGAATCGTACAGTGGCACGCGACCATCTCTAGCCGCGATCTTCAGCTAGCAGCGACGTAGGCAGCGCTGCTTCAAACATGTTGCAAAGACCGCGAGGTTGTTGCGTTGCTGCTTTTCTCATTACGTATACGTATACGTGTGATTTGATTTTTAACTGTGACACATTCCTTTGTCGCATACATTGTAACGGTTTCTTGGCGTCGCTGTCGCCGCTCTTTCTCCTATCAATTAGCCGCCACGCCCCCTCCGCTAACCGCCCCTTTCACCACCCACTGCTTTGATTTCCCGCCTCTTTTTACTTTTAGTGGCTTTCATTGATTAATCAAATTGAAACTGAGCTACGTATAAAAAAGAGGGGCTTGAAAATCTTACAAATGATTTTAGATTTTTTAATTTCTGACCATATTATCTTTTTATTTTAATAATTTGATATTCAAGCGATATACAATAGTGTAATGTTATATGTTTAGAAAATCCTGCTTACTATAGTTTTACCTCTATAAGATAAAATGTATTTGCAATGAAAGAATTTTTGGAGGTTTATCATTGCTAAAAACCACGAGCTTTTATCTAATTTTTATACTGTGTCAGAAATTAACTTCGAACCATTTAACAATTTAATTAAAACTTTCCATGAACTCAAAATTTCTTTTTTCTTCTATACCTAAAATTAAATAGACGAATTTGGCGGGATTACCAATTTCCACGTTGTTCCGGTACATTACTCGAAACTTTTAATACATATACAAAATTAAGCGATCAGCTTAAAACAGTTATCGTGTCTTTTAAAAATTAATATGTATCAATCTATAGTTTAAAAAAAATGAAAACAAAGACTTAACAATTCTATTCTTTTAAGATAAGAATATGTTTACAGATTTTTTTTGGTTAGATTTCTGAGTTAAGAACAGTTTAATAATTTACCCATTTACAATTTTTTCCTTCAAGCTTTTTCTTTGATTAAGTTAAGCTGCCACCTGTTACCTTGGCGGCTTGGATTTTCCTTGGGCCCTTTGTGATTACAAAATCAACGATTACAGGAATTCTTTGTGTTCTTTTTTGGCTGCGGCTTTTATTAACACATTTCGTTTGGCATTGCCTAATTTTAATGTTAATCAATCGTGGTAAATTTGCTTAATTGCCTTTAATTTTTGGGCATACTGTTGAATAAGTGAGTAAGCGATCGAAACACGTGTAAAAGTTCTGGCAGCCGGGCTTTAATTCGCGCGTTTATTTCTTTCTTCTATTTTTTTTCTGAGAGTTGGGTGAATGATTGGATCGCCGGATCCGTCGGTGCTGGAAATGTGTGAAACACGCGTAAAACCCGGTAGAAGGTGTTAAAAATATCGGTTGGCTCCCGATCCGCACACACACACTCGTCACGAATTAGAATTCATTAGAAGAACTTATTTGGAATTTCTCTTAACACTTGACCGAGTTTTGGGCGTTGCACTTGTCCGCTCCTCTTGACTTTTGATTTCCTCAAGGGTTCAGGTTTTTTTGTGGTTTATTTGGGCTGTTTACTGGTTTCTATTTTCTTTGTGTGTTTTTATTTCTACTTTTTGTTTCTATTTTCCTGGACCTTACGTCCATTGGCACACGAGGCCCACGATCAACTGTATTCATAATAACGTTCAGATTTGGGGAAACTATGTCTTCGTTTTCGCTCTGCCCGGAATTCTGCCGACGCTATGCTAGATGTTCGACGCCGCTAACAGAGCGCTGTTATTCGGGATGAGAGCGAACCTCTGCCCGGAGACTTGTGTACTAACGTTCAGATTTAGCGAACTATATAGAAGATGTCGTTTAGGTTTAGCGCTTTACGTCGAAACGTTGGCAGCGCGACGTCCAACGTGTTGCGTCGCACACAGCTGTTCCCCCGTCTCTCGCTCTCCCGTTCACTCTCACACGCCCCGGTTCTTGATATTTGTTGTCGCATTTCTATTAGCCCTCGTTGGTTGGTAGAGCCATCTCGCTTCCGCCCACAGCTCGCCAGCCTGTTGCGCCTAATCCTGTTGGCATCTCGCTTGCACCGAACATGTTGCAACCGCATGGTTTTTGTAACCCTTACGTTTTTTCCTCTTACGTCAGGTTACGTTGCTCCTGGAAAAGACGTAATTCGAATGTCATTTTCGGTGGATATTATTTTTTTTTAATCTGGCTTGTCTTCATTTCTTATATATTTTGTTTTCTTTGCACACACATATTGTAACTTCTTTTTAGCTTTCCCCTTACTTCTGACGTTTTGTCCTAAAATGGACATGTTCACTCAATTAATAAGAGCAGCGCTGCGGCACCCTACACTGAAAACGGAGACTCAGTTAGTTAAGTTGATACTTCGTTTTTATTATATTTTATTTGTATTTTTTCCAACCTAGAGCAAAACAATTAACTAATCATTTTCTATTCAAATAAAATATACACACATGTAGTATTTATATTTGTAAGTTATTTATATTATTATGGTAACAATAATTATGTAATCATTTAATTATTTTGATTATATGTTTAATTCTATTCAATAACTAAAAAAAATATAGTGCGTTACTACACGTCAGTAAAAAATAACAGTTGTTTCAAGGTTGACTGTTGTTTTTCGGGATGTCGAAATGGGTTCAGTTTGCTGTCAGGATCAAAATCAAAAGCGCCTTAGGATGTAGGGATGTATATAGTAATTATGTGCATATTGCCCGCACCGTAGGGGTCTTTCAGTGTCAACTGCAGCCGCACTCACACAAATTGTCTGGCCGAAAAAGCTTTCGGGATTTCAGTGCTTCATTTCATTTTTTGTTTGGGGTTATTCTGGTTTTTCCCGAAGGGAACGAGCCCTACCTGCTTGCTCAAGTTCTCAATTCCAAGTCCAATCCCATGTCCATTCCATACCCATACTCGCGAAGAGATCTGGTTTTCGATTTTTCTTGTATTCCGTTTTCTTTGCCTTATAATTTTTTTGAAATTTTTTCACTCGGGTTGAAGGACCCGCGTCCGAAACCCTTTTCCTGTTTTTCGAGCAGATTTGTACGCCAGCGGCGGCTAATTAAAAAAACCAAAAAAAAATCCAGAAAGGGGGGAACCAGAATCGTATGAAAACCAGAAATATGCTCGCAAAGATATCACTCCCGATCTGATGTGTGTATATGTGGGTCAGTTTTGCGAGCAGACAAATGAAGTGCACATTGTCGTGTCTTTTATTTATGACTGTATGCGAACAACTTCGGGGCTTAAAATTAATAAAATTCATGGATATTAAATAATAAGTATAAATCTGACACCTAGTTTACATGCTGTCTTCACCGAACTTGGAAATTGGTGAGCCACCGCCAAACTTTATGTTCCCATTTCCATCGGGTAAAGTTGATCCATCTGGCTTGGTAGTGCCTTTCTTCGAGTTCTTTTTTCCTTGGGATCGCTCTTTGGGGCGCTCGGCTTCAGGGTTTACTGGATCAATAGTCTCAGAACGCATTCGAACTGAGGGTTCTTCTAGGGTTGCCAATTCTCCAGGAGCATCGTCTTTGCCTTTGCGTTCTGCTCCTCCTTCTGCTCCCCCCTCTGCTCCCCCTTCTGCTCCCCCTTCTGCTCCACCTTCTGCTCCCCCTTCTGCTCCACCTTCTGCCCCTCCTTCTGGAGCAACTTCATCACTTCCTCCTGGTTGCTCGGGAACCCCACCACTTGTCTCATCATCGCAGGCCGTCCAAGCTGCACACATCCAGCAGCAATCCGGGAAATCGACGTGCGTCAATACAGCAGATTCAGCACACTCCGCAAACTGTACAGGTATTTGACAGCTGAAGGGATTCAGAAATATCAAAGGATAAAGGATGTATGTGCATTTAAAGTCACTGCAGTCAAGTGTTAATGATCAATAACAATTTATTTCTTATATTTATAGAAACTTAAATAAAAACTTTTTAAAGGTATCTGACAGCTTAAGGGATTCAGAAGTTAAAAAACATCGGCGATGTCTTTAAAAGCTTTTTAGTAAACGAAATGTTTTCATGGGAGCTATTAGATATTGACGTCCCATTTTGAACAAATTTTGAACCGTAGTTCTGAAATAAGATAAACCATTACTACAAATCAAAAAACTAACAAAAAAATTGAAAAACAGCTATGTTATTATTTTCTTTCTCCGATTGCTCCTATGGGAGCTAAATGAGCTTAATTTCTTCAAATAGCTTTAAAACTGATCAATACCTATTTTTAAGATCTGTGATGAAACTGAATGAGCTATTGAGTGAATATTTTCTCACAACTATGGATGGCTATATATGTTTAATTTTGTCGACTGAACTTACTAGTAGTTATAACCGTTTCCTTCTATATTTTCACAAGTCACAATTCCGCATGTCTGGACATCCTGCTCAATGTCGCCCACAGCCATATTCGCACCTGATTTACTTATGCAGCCGTTCTCTGAAAGGAATTTGAGAGTTATCAATTGGTTGGGGGAATATTGGATTGAATACCTCCTTTAGCCAGTTTATGAGGCTGCACTAGGGCAAACGAGAAGGTGCAACTGGCCACCCAAGCAATTCCTACCAGAAGGTACTTCATCTCGGTTGGAGTAATGGAATCGCTTTGTGGAATAAGCTGCCTGAATGATCCCATTTATAGAACCCATAGCGTGACACCCAATCCCATTGCACACCTGCTAAATCTCGTTGAGAGTAATCAGAATTCGTTATTTACTGCTTCAATATAAATATGTTTATTTATCGGGTAAGTCAAATCTATACACCTTGGTACCGTACTAAAGGGTATTACTTTTCATTAATGGGGAAGTCGAACTTTGGCTTGCTTGTGAAGGCCCTAATAGGCTCGAAAAGTGTGCTTTTAAAGAGACCATTAAATCCAAAATGTAATAATGGGACAAAGTACTGTAAGCCAAAAAGCGTTAAAAATATTTATTATTCAATTAAGGTTTATGAATTGGCCAATAAAACTTTGGTTTCATTACTGGAAATATATTTTGGAAAGGCAGATCACATTATTCACATTATTTATTCATTACTGAATATATATTTTGGAAAGGCAGATCACAAAAATCATGAATTCTAAAATATTATAATTCATTTACAAAATATAATAATGGGACAGACTACTGCCAGCCCTTTGTTTGGCCTCCACAGCCGCACAGGCTGCCTTGTAGGCCGCCTGCTTGGTCTTCTCGTAGTCATCGTGGGCACTGACCAGCTGTTTCTGGAGCACACCCATACGATTGCGGGCTGCCTCGAGGAGCTGCGTCTTGGCGGCCAATTCCTGCTGCGATCCTAGGGCCACCGCCTGGACATTGGCCAACGATTCACGAGCAGTCCTCTGCAGTTCGCTGATGGCCTCGAATTGCTGGGTGGCCGCTCGAGCCGCCTCCACAGCGGCATTCATATTGGCCTCCGTGTGGTGAATGGACTTAGTCTCCTCTTCCACGACGGCCGTGGCCTCCTGCATCTCCTGCTCCAGCTGATCCACCATCATCTGTTTGCCCATCAGGGCTGCCTCGGCGGCCTTGGCCGACTGGAAGGCCTTCTCGGCCAGCTCCAGCTTGATGTGGTGGGCTGCAGCCTGGCCGGCGGCCGATTGCGCCTCACTGGCCGCCTTGGCATCATTGGCAGCCTTAATGGCTATCGCAGAGGACTTTTGTTTGGGATCACCGGGCGTAAAGATGGAATTAACATTACACTTGGCATTAATTCCGTTGCCTCCTGACCCACCACCTTCGCAGTTGTTTTGCGTGTTGTGCTTGGCTCCAGAATCAGTTCCCACGCCGGTTCCAGTGCCACTTCTAGCTTCTGTTCCCGCTCCCGCTCCTGTTCCCGCTCCCGCTCCTGATCCCCCAACGTCGAACAGGGAAGCAGGCGATCTTTCAGCAACGATTGCGGTTCCTGCTCCCTGGATAGCTGCAAAATCATTGAGGAGCTCTCGTGGATTAACCATTCGTTTGTGCAGGTGACCGTGCCTCTGTGATTGGAAGGCCAAAGAACAGGTTGAAGAAGTTATAGATGGGGTACAATACCACTTGCCTTGGCCAGGACGTGGCCATAGGTGCAGTGAAACAGAAGGCGATGGAGCAGCAGGAGTATGGCGAGAAATCTTCGTATTAGCATTAAGCAAGTTGGAAAAATGGATTTTATTCGCTGCCGATTTCATTCGATAAGTTGTTGATTTTTAGCCCAAAGCTGTCTGTTTTTTGTAAAAATTTATCAATACTATATTCTCTTTACTCAAAGACAATACGCGTTTTCTTGGAATTGTTCTATCGGTTTGAACACAGGTTAAAAAACAAGAGTTTTTGCGATGGGGCGATAAATGAAGATGGTACAGGTGGGAAGATTAAACATAAACTATTTTATAATAAACATTTAATTGTTAGACCTTTGCAATTGGCAACAATACCAAAAAAAAAAAAAAAAAAAAAAAAATTTAAAGCAGTGAAAAGGCGATAACAATTGTTATATATAAAGTATTTAGTTGTTTGAGGGTCAGATATACATAGAACCATCTGAACATCCAATAAGATCTTGTGATTTGAAAAAAAATTAAAAATTGAGTAAAAAGCGTTAAAAATATTTATTTTAAGACATATGTAGATTTAAATATTAAATAAAATATAAATGAAAAGTGCCCTAGCTTAGTATCCCTGTGAAATCTGGTTAGCCAACCCCAAAAACCTTTCGTACTCCCCCGCGTTCCTCCTCTCAAGATCCGTGTGCTCCGCCTATCTATCCATCCATCTATCTCGCATCTCACAGATACTCGCTGCATTCTAAAGTGTCTGCGAGTGATGAGCACGCGGCATTTACAGACCCGGACCCAAAACAAAGAGAGCACCGAATACAATATAGAATGCGAAAAAAGGAGAAGCACGATGGGGAAACAAGCCATATAGACACGAATTGCTACAAAAATGCCAGCTATGCTAGAAGTAAATGCTAAAACTAAAAGCGCACCGCAAACTGACGGCTAGACAGAGGCGGACACAAACGAATACGGACGGACTGATGAACGGACGGACACGGGAGACACTCGCGGACAAACAAACAGACGGACGGACTGCTGAACGGAGGGCAAAAATAGTTTTGGGAGCGCCATTTAAGAGCGACGGGAACGTCTTCGACGCCGGCGATTCTTGGTTCATACTGTCTCCTCGACAAAATGTCAGAGTCTTAAAAATAAAAGTTAAATGAAACGCCAAAAAAATTGTATACATTATCAAAGTCGAAAAATAAAAAGCAATATAATTTAACTGAAGCAATTATTTAATGTTACTGAAAACTATAAGAAAAATGAAAAGCAAAAACTATAAGAAAAAATTATAACTAAATCAGTGGGTACATGAATACATTATTGTTATTTAAAAAATAAATTCAAGTGTGCCAATATCACCAGAGTTTGATTTATATTGTGTATTATGCTTAAAGATCGAATTGGAAAAACTTGAATATTCATTTTAATTCGAGCTTAAATACCAGTTCTCGGAAAACATTTTATTTAGTCAAAGTTTCCAGAACTCATTACTTGACCAATGGCTCCCAAATCATGTGATTTCTCAAACCAAAATATACTCTAAGTAATTAAATGAAATCCCTGAATAACCCGAAAATAGTTGCCTTTCTTTGGGTCGGACTTAATTGACTGAAAACTATCAGAAATCATTTTAGTTAGAATATAAATGAAAAATGTTTCTAGTACGTAAATTAGTTGCATTTTCTAGCCCAAAGTTCATTGGGGTTCAAGAATATAGACTTCATCTTATTTCATGCGCTCAAAACATGCCCATTATTGGATGGCAATGGGGATGGGAAAGGGGCATGGGGAGGTGGATCGGAGGGTGTCAGAGATTAGAAGCTTCACTGTGTGGAAATGGCTGATAGCGTTGGACATTCGGTTGCATAAGTGAGCCAGTGCCTGTCCAACTGTCCAACTGTGTCAAATGGCACATTAAGATTCCGATTCTGTCGGATGAAAAATAACACCAACTTGCATTGGGAGTATTTGGGGGCTCTCGATAACACTCACGTCGAGGTCATGTCGACCACTCGGCACTGATAATCCTCCGACGGCATCGGGGTCGAAATCGGAATCGGGCACGACAATTTATTTTTAATGCCCTATTAAAATAGAATTTTGAAATGTGATTACACGTCTTCAGAATTCAATTTGCTTATCGCTTCAGAGGAGGACTGTTGCCGAGAGCGCGGTGTACGGTGTATGTCAAAGGTCACGCTCGCCTACCACCCTCCCCCCCTTGAGAACCTTCGATCCCTGCCAGTCGCTATCGACTGCCGAGATAATGGGCAATCTAATGGCCCTGATTAGCCCGAATCGGGAGAACAGTTTTGCTTTTCAATGGAGTGGAACGAACAGTTCCGCAGGCCTTATTTCCAATGGATCCCGACCAAACGCATCGAATGGGTTTGACTTTTGAGAGGATAAGGAGAATTTGACACTTGTGTAATAAATAAACCAAAAATATATTTTTACGATGGGAAAACAATTTAAAACGTACTTTTTAGACCCGTAGAATACCAAAATTCATTTTTATTTGACTTTCTGGTTGACGTTCTAGTGTATTTTGAAAAAATTGTCATCTTTAATACATGTCATCTAGTTTTCTGTTTATTATAATATTCTGGGTGGCTTCCTTAATACAATCTAATTACTTTTGAGTCTTAAAAAAAAGAAAACTCCCCAAATTCATAAAATACAGAGCTCTTTATTTATTATAATGTTCTGGGTGGTTTCATGAATATAACCCCATCACTTGAAAGTCTCCTGTCAAACACAGTTATTCGGTTAGAAGCTTCACTGGTCACATTTCTTGCCCATTATAATGCAATCAATATTCCTATAAGAAAAGCGCTCCAATTATATGATGTCACAGAGAATCTCGATCTAGAAGTCAACCTGCTGCGCCACCCAGTCAAGTTGTTGGAACCAGATTCTCCCCGACAACTTCAACTTCAACTTCAACTTCAGCTTTGTTTTGTCTCTTTTTTTCGCAAGTAACGGTCGGTTGACAAGCGTAACGAGATGGGCAGCAGAGGATGCTGGGGAACCGATTTTAATTACACGTAATCTTTATAAATAGAAGCAGCAAGAGGCAGAAGGCAATAACCGGCGAGGATCCTCGGCCATCCAATAATAAAAAAATGCAGCTCACAGAACCAAGTACAAGTCGAATGCATAAATCAATAGGTGCAGAGAAAAAAAAATATATAATATATATTTTTTGATATTTTCTCATTATGAACAATCGGTAATACAAAAAATTATAATTGCTTTTCGGTAAAAGTAAAATATTGGCACACCTTCAATTGAATGAGATTCAATAAAATTGAGAGAAATTAATTTAATTATCAATAGATTATTAAGACGCTTAAAAATTGTCAATTAACTCTATTATTCCCTGAACATTTGTTTTCTATTTTGTTCCTTTTCTATTTTCTTTTGTTTTAATTATGTGATAAAACTTTTGTAACTGTTCGTGACTAGCCCATTAAATAATAAGATATCAAATAAATAATTAAAATTGACGTACTAAATTTTTAACTTATACTGTGAAAGACATATTTTTTTTTTTTTTTTTTTTCATTTTATTATTATGTTTAAATATTATATATAGGCTCAACGACTTCTATCAAAGTAAAATCAAATTCCCTTAAGGAATTTAGGGAATACTAATTGAATTTTACTCTTTTTCAGTGCCTTGAGCTGTGGAAGGCAGTAAACACAGATACCAGCTCACACAGAAGCCGAGAGCGAGAAATGCCGGGACAAGCCATAAATGAGTAATTGCTGACAACGCTGCAGACCTTGTCCAGTAGCCTTGGCTTGGACCTTCTACTGGGCCTCCATCTATGTTGGGTCCAGTGCCATTTTCAGCCAGGACAACAAGCCATAAGCGTACGCCTAGTCAAACAAAACTTAAAAAGAACTAGGAACTAGGAACCACCGAGGTCCGAATAATGTATGCCCTAATAAATATAATTTATGCTTGTAATTGGAAACTCAAATATTTTAAATTACCACCCTTAACTAAATTTATTAACTAAGATATATTACTTAAAGGCAAATTGTTTCCAGGTATTATTGACTTTTAGGGAATTAGTGCAAGAATGATTAAACACTTTTAATCAGCAGGCACTTGTATACATTTCTTTGGTATTTTTAACGTCTTAAAGACATTACTAAAATATATTTTTAATAGGTAATTAGTCCCCAGTGATTATTGATTTTATTTTTTAATAAAGGTAACTAGAAAAAGGTTTCTTCTGAAACAAAAAGATTCCGGATATAATTGCATTTGATTTTCAAGTAGAATTTTCAAATCTTAACACGCTTGCTAATTTTTCTGCTCTTTAGGTAGCCACAACCACATAAAAATCTTAGCTAATTCATAGTCTTGGCCAACAAAATGCTCATCAAGTGCCGACAAACATGCATAATCCCAGCGAGGGTATGGGCATGCCAATGTAAACATGGTTCAAGTGGAGAATAGATGAGTATGCCAGGTATTCAATTACATTGCCCATGTCCCCCACTTTTGCTCCCCTCTTGATCTGCAGAGCTGCAGCGAACCAAACGAACCTAAACTTCTGCAGAAAAATACTTGGAGTTATGGACTTTTTGGAGTCGGCTTCCAGGTAAAGATGCCACCAAACCAACTCCAGCTCGAATGCATGCCTCTCTAACGGTTTGGGCATTGCGTTAATGATACTTGTTTGTATCTGTATATCTGTATCTGTATCTGTATCTGGCTTTTGTCTGGTTCTGCGATGCACACGCCTCATGTTGACAAACTCACTTTACAAACAGTAATTTTTCTCGCTTCATTGGCGTCCCGTCTCGTCTCGTCTCGTCTCGTCTGGAAAAACCTATTGCCCCCCAAAGTCCCCTTAGTTTTTCCGTGGTAAAAAGAAGCCTGTAAAGCGAGCGTGCATGCGGTTTGTTGGCCGACTCAAGACTCAAGTCTGCTGCCACTGCTGGCAGTTAAATAAATAGAAAATGAAAAGTACAACTAAAAATATTGTTCGAAAGCCGCAGCGGCGGCAAAAAGCTACTCGTACTCGTACTCGCACTTGGCATTTTCATTGTCGCTGACCGATTGTTCCATGTTTGACTTGCTCTACAGTTCGATAGCCAAACGGATCGAGGGGTTGGCATCGATGGGTGCGGCCCACTCTATAAGAACACGAAAGAAAAAAAATGAAAACAAAATAGAAATTAGTTGAAATTCACTTGGCCGAAGTTGGCCAGCACACTTTTCAGTTACTTATTTGTTTTGCTTTTAATATTTTCAAGGAAAATAAGAAAAAAAGCATAAATGGTTTTAGTATCCTATTAAGAATAAGAATAAGTATAAGAAAAACTGCAATAGAAGAGCTTATTATTTCTTTTGAGTGCTTTGTTCCCTTTTTTGTCTTTTTCAGGCATTTTTATTTATTTTTTGTTATTTGGTGCGCGAGTATGTCAGCCGAGGCGGCTGCAAGATCTAGAAAATTACATGCAAGCTGCGACACATTATGCGCGACGCGACAATAATATTTCTATTGGCGAAAAACTTCACACTTAATGTACGCTGCAAAGAGTGGCTAAAAAAATTAACAGAAAAACGAATTATAAATACTCTAAGGTTTCACAAAAAAATTTAAAGTTTAAGGAAGCAGTTTAAACGTTAGGCTTCAATGGGTTTCTTAAGTTTTTTAGAAATAACGTTTTATATTTATAGAATTTTACTCACCTACTTATTTAGGTATAATTGATAAAAAAATCCCATTCAAATAGTTTCGACTTGAGAACAGCCTGAAACATAATTAAAATGATTGGGAAATTGAATATAATTATTTGGTTAATAGTAGCTTATCTTAAAATTAGAACTTAAGAGGTGCTTTTTATTTTATTTTTTTTAAGATTTAAATTTTTATTTTACTAATTTCAAGCTGATTTTATGTTATAACTTTTAAATAAGAAAACAAACGAATAATTTTTTTCAAGTACCTTTATATAAATATAAATTTTCAGGTTAATAACAATGCTTAATTATGAGGACCAGAAATTGGCCATAACATTTAAAAGGGTGCTACAAGGAAAAGGAACATAAAAAAATTTGGAGCAAACCAAAGTCTAGCGGAGAGAACCTCGAAAGTAGTTGCATGTGTGGCACACCCCGGGATTTTTGGGATGCTGGGTGAGGGGGGCAGTGGCCCGGGGGCGGGGAGGAGCTGGGGGGCGGGGCCAGTCAGCAGACGGAGACGACGACTAGTCAACGCTTTAAGGAATATGCCAGCAAATAATTAAAACATATTTAAAAATAGTTTGCCATATGGGTGACGACGACTACAACGACGACGACGTTGAAGATGAGGCCCGGCTGGGTGACGTGGTCAGACCAACACCCTCTATCCCTCCCCCCTGAACCACCCCCTCGTTCAACAAACAACCCACCCACCCCACCGATGACAAAGCCAACAAAAAGCAAACAAATACTTGTCTGGCCGTCTACGTCGCTGTGCATTGACCGTACTATAACCGCACTTACTACAGACAAACGCAGATATGCGTACTCGCAGATGCAGATACTCGCAGTCACAGATGGATCCGAATCCTAACGAGATATCTGGGTGCACCCAAAAAATGCCATCCCATCCACTTCTCTGTTGTTCTCCCTCGTGCCAAGTTCAAAATTTTATGCTCTGCACTTTCAGTTTTTTCGCCCCTTTTTGCGAAAGCATTTTTTTTCCAAAATAAAACAGAAACAAAAATCAAAAACATTTTCAATTTGTATTTTTTTGGCCAAAAATAGTTGCGCCAGCCGAGCGCTAATGTTATTGCTTTAGTCAAAGTGGCTAAAAAGTATCTGCCAACATCACTGTCTGTGTTCGGTATTTGTATCTGTATCTGTAAATGTACGCGTATCTGTATCCGATGCCGTGTGTATCCGTGCATCCATGTCCAATTTTCCTGTTTCGATGCCGTGAGCAGATTTATTTTCATTTTGATTATATTTTTGGCACTTTTTGTTTGGACGTGCGAAAAAACTTACAAATTAAAACTGTAATATTTTCGACAGCAAACAAATTCCCGCTGTCTTTGTAAACTTTTTTGGATCATTTATTAAAAGACTCTGCGATCTGGACTAGAAGTTTTTTTTAATAACATACAAAGTAGTGAAGAATAAACTCAAATTATGATGACAAGGTTTTTGATAATTTCCGTCAAACAACTTGTAATAAAAACAAAAATTAAGAATGCATAAAAGTAATAGGATTATAATTTAAATAAGATTACAATAAAATAATATAGTTTCCATTACTTTTAAAGAAATCTAACAAAAAATTGATTAGACCAACAAAATGTTATTAATATTTAGATGAAAAATCCTATTTGTTTAATAATAAAATTCTTAAGGCATATGCAATATTTAAATCAAATCATTTTTGTAAATCAAATAGTAATAGAATAAATCTAATCAGAATCAAATTTAATTCTTCCGTCACTGTCAACTTACTTAGCTTCACTTTGTAGGTAATCAATGTCAAATCAAAGTAGGAATACGTTCAGCTAATGCCATCGATCAATTATACATACTTACAGGCCACTAAGCGAAAAAACATACCTCACCTCAGAATCCGCACTTTGCGCTGCACTTTGGCGGAAATTCATTTTGAAAACATGCGGTGGCGACATTTGGCGCCACCTCAGCTCAACAACCATCCCCCCTCCATTCCCACCCCCAAAAGAGGCGTAGATCAAAGGGGGCTGCTGCTTTTGAGTATGCGCCGAGCGTAGCGCAAATCGCGGCACTGTGTAATGGTCAATAAATTACATAGACAACGCAGAATTACAAATCGTTTTGATTAGCAATTAAAATGGCAAAAAAAAAATAAAAAAAAAAGAAAACGATTAGAAAAACAAAACCAGCAAAGTCGGAGAATAAAAGCTGAGTGCATCTGGGCCAGGCTGGCCGGTAAATCTCTTAATTACTTGGCAGTTTGCACTCGTCGTCGTCGTTGGCTTTCGATGGCAACAGGTGCTCGCGGGCAGCGCTTATTAACTCATTATAAAAGCATTTCAGAGCAGTTCGATTTGCTTTTGCTGAAAAGCATTTCAATTGCGTCCGACACTCGCACATTTCGAAATGCGTGCTTGTGCTTTTGGCTTTGCTGTTGCTTTTGCTGTTGCTTTTGCTGCCCCTGATGTCCGGCTGCTGCGACCTTCACTTGCTCTGCCAGCGAAAAAGGGTGATTCAAGCTGGCAATTGGCAAATATTATTTCACTTAAACACAATTAAAATGGTTTTACGAGGACTTAAAAATAATTTTAATTATCACTTAGTCATTAGCCCAATAGCCAATTTAAAAACTTTTTAACCGGAATATACGTTTTGGGATGAAACAAATTTGAAATATGGCTTTCCTTAATTAGTAGATATTGAGAAAATTTAAATGTATTTTTTCAAAAGAAAATTGCTTTTATATTTCTTAATCACTAGTCCATTATAGTAAATCATTGTAATACCTCAAAACTTAATCTAAAGGGCAAATTTATAGTATAACGAAAATCAATAATACCATTGTTTAGTATTTTTTTGATCAGCACATGATATCAGTGATAATAAAAAGGGTAATAAAGAGAAACTGTTTAAATTTATATTTTCTCAAGCAAACTTATTAAGCATTAAGATTTTTTTTGTCATATTTGTTGCTATTGCAATTTTAATATTATGTCTCTTAACATTGCATCATAAAAATAATATTAAATAAAAATCATAAAATAAACAAATTTCATGGTTAATCCTTTAAAGAAATTTCCACCGTACTGACTCACCCCCCTAAATAAATCTCAAGACACCTCGTCTTCTGCTGCTGGCAGCACTTGCTCCTCTGCCTTATACAAATACTTTCTGAGATGCAAATTTAATTTGCTTAATGATTTTGCCGGGACGGGCAGATATCTGGGAAACTTGTTTTGCGTGAGTATGCAATTAATGCCCGTCAGCCGTATATTCCATCTATCATAATTTTATTTAGTTAATGGGAATTTTTTCCAACAATCCCCCAGTGAGTGTGTTTCTATACTCGTCTGTGCGATGGCGATTCCACGCTTGTGTGGCAGATGCAAATGTCACAAACACAAAAGACAGCCTAGTCACGGCGATTGGATGGAATTAGCTGGGCTTGGTCTATAACGGAAGGCCTAAGCCCGCTGTAGCCTTAATCGTCAAGACTGTGAATAATTCCGAGGAAAATTCCTGAAGGAAACTGAACCCTGGAGGCTCCAATAACGCATCGATACTTCCGCAGCAAAATGAAAAAGAATTAAATTAAAATAAAGTCCCGACACCAAGGTTGGTTCCCACCAACATTCTCAGACATAACAGTGTGGTATTTGGCATATCTCCAAATACACAAAAAAAAAGTTATTGAAACTAAACTATTGTTACATGAATATTAAACTGAATAATGTCACAATAAGATAAGTGTTAAATTTATGCCACGAAAGTATCAAAATCCAAAACTTATATGGCTTAAAAATTAGGTCTCAGTTTTAGCCTTTTTAGTATAGAATCTTTAATCTTTTGATTCAATTACTTATACTTGAATATTATCTGTAGTTTATTTTCCAGACACACTTACGAAAACTTTACATTCCGTTGTTTTTTTGGGTGTACGGCTATCGGGGGGCACACACAATGACCATGGAACCGATATGCGATACACTTATACATTTGTCATACTCCACGCCGTGAGTGGAGAAACTGCCGAGATCAGCTGATTCTCCATATCCCCAGGCCCAGCATGAATGGACAGAACTTGATATGATATTTCGCCTTTAATTCCTTCACTTGAAAGTTGTCCATTGTCCGTCAATTGAGTCATCATCATTATCCGTGCACCAGTGTCTCCAGAGGCCCGATAATAAATAACAAAAGCATTTCGGGGCTACGCTGCTATATGCGGTTATTGGATACACAAGCGGATATACAATACTCCCAGCCCAGCCAGAATCAGAATCAGAATCAGAATTGTGGAAAAGGGGACTGGGCTTGGGGACAGGAACTGGGCTGCCCGACAAATGTTTCTCATAAACCACAATATGATATCTGCAAACAGAACATGAGAACTTGAACTTGAACGGCGAAACAAATGCGGGGAAAAAGACTCTTATCAGCGATATATGATTTGGTTTTTGTAAGCAATAATATTCCTTCCCTATTGTAATTAAATCGTCGGACAAGCTTAAGGGGCTTGCCCACTGCCTATATGATTTCAAATAAGCAGAGATTTCTTTTCAAATATTTATTAATGTTTCAAAGTTACACCCTTATTACTATATGATATATGATTTTGAATAGGCCGGGAGTTCTTTTTAAATATTCCTCAAAATTTCAGATTTACACCTTTACACAAAAGGTTTTTTTTAGGGATACATGCTAATAATTAAAAACTTTATTAAATTTTTGCATATATTTTAATAAATAATTTGTGAGATACAATATTTGAAGAGCTGAACTTGGATTTGGTACTTATAAAAATCTGGGTTTTGAATGATTTTATATAAGCATAAAGAAACAAAATTGCAAGTATCAATTTGATGATCTCAGGTCAACAAATACATACAATTTTGTCCATTGAACAGTGTAAGCAAATTATTTTAAAATATTTCTTCCTCTATTGAAACTCAAACACAAGAGAGGTTTATTTCATTGATCAATACTGCTTAATAAAAAATAAATAAAACCATTTTTATTTTTTTTTGCTAATCTTTTAATAAATTGTAAATAGTATCTCACAATTTTCGATGAAGTTTATATATGGACCTAAGGTTTATCTAGGGCGCACCATAATGGTAACAGTCTTGTAGCTGTACGAGAAGCCCTTCCACTCGCCCCAAGTGATTCCAGAGCCCAGGAGATCGGGATCGGTGTAATTACCACCCAGATAGGCACCATTCAGATTGCTGCAGGGAAAAATGGATAAGTATGGGATTTATACACCCAAGTTAAAGCATTAACTTACCTGGAAAGGCAATCTTTGTACCACCAAGCTCCCTTGAACCTGGCGGCGCAATTGGTGGTGCTATTGTCGTGATCCCTATCAAAAGTGCTGAAGGGCTGGTTGAGATGGTACTTCAGACTATCTCCGGCGGATCCACTGTAGAGGCCAAGCTGTGTCAGCGAGTAGTTACTGTACACATTGCCGACGTTAAACAGGTTGTAGTGGGAATAGCGCTCCTCTCCACTGAAGTCCACCAATTGGATGTACAGCTCCTGAGGGTTGAGGGCCGTAATCTTGTTCAGATTGTTTAGACCGATGAAGAAGTTTCCCTTGAGGTCACCGAAACCAGCCTCATAGGAGGTCCAATTGCGGAAGAAGTTCGTCTCGACACTGACTCTTCGCTGGACTACCAGCCAACCTCTTCCAGCAATGGTCGAATCACAATACACCTCGATTATATCGTTGCCCACTTTGATCTTTTGAACACCACTCTTTTTGGGGTTTATTTCCTTGCAGGATGCGGAGTACTTCTTGAACCTCTCGATCTCCCCAGTTTCGCCTATTTCGGCACTGGCCAAATAAACAAGGCACAGCGAAAACACGCAGAGTACGAAGTAAATGGGTTTCATTTTGTGGAACCTTTCTGACTGAGAAATCAATTGGCCAAGAGGCGCCGTTTTATATCAGTTGCTTTGTACCTTATCATACTATCAACTATCGCCTTTTTCCGAATTTACGTATAAGTCAATTGATAAAGCCCTTTCAGATTAAATCGCTTGGCATCTGCTAAAAGCACAATTTGGTAACAGATAAGAGACTACTAATAAAGCAGTTAGTCATTTACAAGGGGACTTTTCTTTAGAATAATGTTACCAGCAATCTTGAAATTTTGACCACCTCGCAAATTGTCAAAAATTGTTAGTCAATAGTAAACCCCCATTTTTTTAAAGGGAAGTAACTATTATTATTTCTTTAGACCTAAGGCTATAGTTTTGCCAAATCTAGTTATGTCATCTGGATAAAGCTTTAAACAAATCAGCTCTATATCAAAAAAGTGCAACTGGATTAAATTGAATAACCTGTCAGTTTAGTTATTAAGTTATGAGTATTAGCTTTTAAGATAAATATTTGGCATTACAGCATATATTATTATTAGAAATGCCAAACTAAAATTATCACTATTTCCACACAATTCCATAGTATTTGTCAGAAGTCTATTCTTAACAACCATAAGCTTGTTTAAACGCCGAGTTCATATCTTTAAGCAAACAAACTTCTCAGAGATCGACTGCTGATATTGCCATAGAATATCATATATTACATAGCTGATTCGGAAACACTTCGCTCGGAGCAGTGCACAAATATTTACGGAGAATCCATTGCCGGCGGGCCACCCATTTCCTGTATCTTGGCAGTTTGATGCACTTTGGACAAGTGTCAAAAGGTGTCACCGAAGGTGCTACCACCACACTCCATTCTCCATTCCATTTTCCATGTTATTTTAGTTGTTTTTGGTTTTTGACAACTTTTGGAATAATGTGACAGGGCCTGTCGGCTACCAAAGTTGGCTTTTTGTCTCAGCCATACACCAACTACAACTGCCATCGAGAGGTGACAACTCGTACGACACCTACAAAGTGTACACAAATACCCTACTCCCACTTCTTATGGTTCCTACTCTGCTATCCCCTATCCCCTACCGTCCAACATGTGCCACACCATTATTCCAAGCAACAAACAAACAAACAAATGAACAAATATTTGCCACAAACTGCGAGGAAGACAAAACGCAAGAGGAAGACGACTGGGAGCCTGAAAAACGATAAAATGCCATTTATGATAAATACATAACACTCGATGTTTACCCACTCATTCAGTAAGACATCTAGAACACCGAAAGAAATATTCATATGATCTGAATTAAGTCATTGTTAGGATCCATAAGCCTAAAGATTTTATTGGTTTAATTTAAATAATAAAACCATTTATATTATTTATATTGCCTTTTTTCACAGATTCTTCTAGATTTCAATGACACATTTGGAAAGACCTAATGACTTATCGTGATTAAGCAGCAAAAAAACTAAGAGATTTTATTTGTTTTGTTTGTGTTACTGATTGGATTTTAATAATTATAATAATAAGTGTACGAAATCAAATAATAATAAAAAAATATATATACTGCTATACTTTATGAATTTTATGAAAAATCGAATGAACAATAACTGAATTAAATATAAATATTATAGTATATAGGCTTTTACTATCACTCGATGCAATTTATTATAGATGACTAAACATAAACGGCCTAAATGACGAATAGTGCAAGTCTTTTCCGAAACTAAAATTTTTTATGAGCCAAATGAAATTCCTATTTTCAGTGTATGATAAATAGGCTACAGACGTGTTGTCTGCGGCATTTGGCACAGCGATAAAGAGTGGAGGCGAATGGGAATAGGAGTTGGGAGTTGAGCCAGAGAAACAGAACAGAATTCAAGTGTCAAAGTGACAGTTTCGAAATTGATTGCTGCAGCGGCCATTGTGTGTGCGCGTTTGGTTGATAAATAAGGCAGCTTTAAACCGACTTAACCGAGAGCCATTGGGGTTATCTAATAGAGCCAAAGATAGACACCATTGATAGCTGTAGCATACCCCTGCTCCGTATCAATATCAACTTGTTCAAATGATTGACAGGCGACACGTGGTCAGCTCCCTGGAGTTCATGCGCTTTCGATTAACGCGATCACGTCGAATCCATGGCATAAACGATATTTCGCCGTAGAGCCCACCTAGCCCATTTTCAGTGCCACCGACGACAAGGGAATATAAATTAGAGGTGGAAAATTGCATAAATTCTTGACATGCCTACGCGTATGAGAAATGAATCGATAGCAATCAACCAGACTCAGACCCATTCCCATTCCCAAAACCAAAACCAAGTAAACCTCTGGTGGCCCAGGCTAAGACCAAAAATTATTGGAGGCACGGGACGCCGCCTGTCAAGTATCGCCAAACAAATTGACAACGAGGGGAGTGCGGAACTAATGAACGTTTCGAATGGCACAGAACAGGAAAATAAAGAAAATTTATGGTCGAGTCCTCCAACGAGAGCAAAAGGTGACCAGACTGCCCCAACACCTGGAAACATGGCAAAAAATATGGTCTAAGGTAAGGAATTTTGTCTAAAAACTAAAGAAAAAAATGTTTTTTTTTTAAATATTAAAAGTAACTCGTCTAGTTAAACTAATTAATAATATATATACTTTATAGGGTCGGAAATGTCTCCTTCACTGCATTGCAAACTTCAGACTGAAATTATAATACGCTCTGCAAGGTTACAAAAATTTTAAAAAAAAAAAAAAAAATTTTAAACCCGTAACTAAATCTTGTAATTTTTTATAAAGTTTGTAAGTTGTTTTTTATCAGTTTTAATCCGAACTTAATGTGCGGTCGAGAAAACGGGTCTAAGAACAACAGAATAATTTTCTTTTCAATTTAAAAGTATTTAATTTTGGCACAGTGCCGGAGTAAATAAATGAAGTGCCATGTGAAAATATTTCACACGTGGTAGGGCGAAAACTGTTCTGTGGGCAACAATTTGTGATTGTGGTGTTCGGTTGGCTAGCAGTTGAATTGCTGAATTGCCTGGGCTGCTTAGTGGTTGTTGTGTTGGGTTATTTGGTATCCATTAGATACAAATCGGCGGTGCTGTTGCGGTTCATTAATTCCGCGGCGTTTGACAAATGCAGCGCCAGGAAACGACAACCACAAAACCAAGGCGACCGATGGACTGATTTGAATACATCGCTGCCAACCAACGTTGTGCGGGCCATTTGCATTTTTAAACGATTTTCTCATTTGGGTTCTCTGCTTTTCTGTTTTTGATATTTTTATTTTTTTTTCCCCAACTTTACGGATTTCTTGTTACCTCTTCAATTATGTAAAGAGCGGTCGACATTTTCTTCGTTTGGGGTCGCCGGCTTTTGGGGACTCAAAACCCCAAACCCCCGATATGGGGCACTCGAGTACAAGATTTGCACTGACATAACTGCACATGTTCCTCTTTTTCTGGCCACGCCCCGTACATAATTCCCAAATGCCTCGGATGAGTTGGGGCGAAAAAAAATAAAGGCAAGACTGCAAAATTTGGTGGCAGGGACTGGGGCAGGGGCAGGGGTACGTTGTTTTGGTGGCCTGGATAGACCCCCAACACTTATGTGCCCCTCAATGTATGAAAATTAATGTTGGCAATCTGTAAAATCCTGTAAAGCGTAACTCAAACTCGCCACAAAAAGACACAAAAAAAACACACGCGAATTAATAAGCAACGGGATGTCCAGTGATGGGAACTTGGCCAATCGTATCGATGGCACCCAAAAGATGAGCATCTTTTTTGACTCCTCGTTAAAGACTACCTTTGACAACCAAGTCAGCACCTTAAAAAGGCAAAGCGATGACAACGCTTTGATATTGTTGGATATGTTTATTTTATTGTTTCCTCGCTCTTTCGTAATGCTATTTTATATTCTTATTAAAGTGCTTTGACTCCATATTTATTCAAAAAATAATATATGCAAACCAACATTTTTCACCAAAAGCTTCCCTCGCTAGTAGGCTAGAAGCATTTCTTAGTTGCATTAATGTATTTTTGTTTGTTGCCAGACAAAACTAAAATTCTATAAAATCCAGAAATTAGTCGAATCAGCTTCATGCCCTTAAATTTTTTAATAGAATCCAATCCAATTTGCTGCCAAAAAGTGCATTAAAACTTCGTTGTAGGCCTTCCTTAACATTTTTGAAAATTTTAATTAAAATTGTGGCCGCGGAAATTTGTGCGCGCTTCGGTGTGGAAGGAAACCCCGTTTCATCGTTCTCCTGGCTGGCTCCTCCACTCACTCCCCCCTACCCTGCTGCCCCTCCCCCAAAATACTTGCATTGCTGCTGTTGCAAGTTGCATGTTGCATGTGTTGCAGGTTTTACAAGACGGGCGACAACGCTTGTTCAACATGCCTGTTTCTCCTTTTCCTCATCTTGCACTCACACTCGCATCCCAGCGAAATGATCGACGACGTTGCAAAGTATTAAAGTCAGCGCGACACAATCTGCATATTAAAGGAAAATGAAAAAAAACACAGCAACAGCAACTTGTTGCACAAATACCAACGAATGCACTCAGAGATACGGTTATACCTCAGTAGTAAGGGTTAAAAATGTATTATTTAATTTAATTTAAAATACTATGTATTTTCACCCTGAAAAAAATTCCTTAATTTAGGTGTATTGAAATATGAACCATATATTAGGAAAAATACACAATATAAAAATTATTTGGGCCATGTTTAGGTGAATATAAAATTACAAATTTTTTTAACGTATATAAAAAAAATGTTTTTTCAAAGAAAAAATGTAATATTTTTTTGGAAATTTCTTGGCTGGTTCCAAAAAATTCCCAGCATGTGGAATTTTCTACTTAATTTCAGCAAGTTATTATTTAACATTTTTAATAAATGATGTCAGATCTATAAAAATCTGATGAAAATTGGTTTATCGATATTGCCCTGTATTTGCGCACATGCAGAAATTAATACACGCCTGACGGGCTCACAATCAAATGAAACGGCCACTGGGAACCGGCCAAGACTGGACGGGATTGGATCGGTTTGGA